TTCCATTTTCCGGCTACCCACCTCGCCGTGTTTCTTTCCAGCCGTTTTTCTCTATTCTTCCGGCATTTTTCTTCACTGCTGCCGCCGTCCACTGCCGCCGCCGTCGACTTTCCGGGCGGCGATGAATATACAGAATCATTTTCTGTTTTCCTTTTCTCCAATACATCAAGTTATAGAGACATGATTTCACAAATCATAGGAACTAAATTATTGTTTTTTAGTAACATAATGTCGAAGGGAGAGAACTTTTGTATACAGTCTCAGGGATTTACCTGTCAGAATTTCCTCTAATTTCTAGTTTGACCCTTTCCTCCTTTCCAGAACCTGGGGAGAATATTTGCAAGAGATTGCTATGACAAAATAGGCACTGTTTTAGTAATCATGGTGTGAGATTAGGCCAACACGAATTACTATCCACAATAACATAACCTATAGGATATATATGCATGTTGGTTTAAAAAGGACAAACCTATAAGAACCCGTTGCAAAATGGAGTCCATCACCACTAAAGCAGCACTCAAATTTATCAAATATGCAGTCATTATTATATAACTCTGGCAACTGCATAAAACAATAGAAGACTGGAGCTATCAACCACTGGAAGAAACATTTTATCAAATTCTTTGGAGCCACCCCTCCCCAAAGAAAAAAAATTATAGGAACTTCAGAAAAATTCATAATGAAAAGAAGAAAAATTCAATCAAGATAGTGGAAAAAATTATATCTTGATGCTTGTAATATATCCAAATTAGGAGAACAAGACAATATCTGTAAAACTACGCTAACTATAGAGGGATTAAGCCCATAAACAATAACATGAGACTATGGAAAGGGTTGTTCAATGGAAATTAAAGCCAATACATTCTTATTATAGAGAACCAATTCAGTTTCATGTTATGCAGGCCAACTATGGAAGGAAGATACCTAATGAAGTATAATGGGATGGTACATGAGGAAGTAAAAAACTAACATATAGTTTTCATTGACATGGAAAGGCCTATTCGTATCATAAGTTTAAAAAATCAGAGTTATGTATATGATAAGATGGGGTTAAAACTAGTGTGCAAACATATGTGGGGCCGCTCATGATTCCCCTACAACTGTAGGATTATACTAAGGGTCAATTTTGAGCCCTTGTCTTTTTTTTACCTTGGTTTTTGATATGTTTCGCAATGCATTCTTTTTGAAGATGTTATAGTCCTAATGAGAGACAAGAAGAGTAAATGGTACACTAGCGTTATAGAGAACAGGTTTAGAAGTAGATGGTTTGATTAAGTAGAAATAAAATGGAGTATATAGAATCTAACTTTAGCAAGACGCATGCTAGTACTAGTTTAGATGTAAAAGTTGGAGATCATACTATACCATGAGTCTATACAGTTTAGGTATTTTGAATCTGCCACACAGAGTGAAGGTGAAATAGAGGGAGATTAAAGTTTAAACCATTAGATTCAAGATTGATGGACGAAATGTAGAAATGCTTTGGGTGTTATTTGTGATAGAAAGGTGCCTCTCAAGCTTAAAGGAAAGTTTAAACATAGAGCTTTAAGATCATAAGCTAATTGTTGGGTGATAAAGCACCAAAAAGAGCATAAGCTAAGTGCCTCATAGACGAGGATATTATAGTGGATGAGTAACCATACAAGACGAGACAATGAATGCGTTAGAGAGATGGTAAGAGTAGAAATTATTGAGGGAAAGACGGTTGAGTCTTGCCTAAGGTGGATTGGTCATTATATCTCATGCGAGAAGCGTAGAAGTCTCGATAAAAAGAGTTGATCAGCAGGTGGAAATTGTTAGAGACTGAAACAAGAACAACTCTATTTAAACCATTAAAAAGGACTAGGATCTAACTGAACTTGTTGAAGATTTGGATCATGACAACATACTTGTGTCGTTTGATTCATGTAGACAACCCCACTTAGTTGGAAAAGGTTTCTGTTGTTATTGATGCTAAGCATTATTTGACATGTTGCCCTTTAATCCAAGTAATTAAATTCTAGAAATTCGAGCAACCATAATTTTGGAGCAGAGCTGGACAGATAATTATGAGGAAACATAATCCACATGTAGCAGAGCTCTCGGAAAAAAACAATTTCACAGTAAATATAAAAGCTTTTTCCCATTGGCAAAAGTTATTTTAGAACCACAATAGAAAAAGGAAATGGGTGTGGGGCAAAAGATGTTTCAAATCCATTCTACTTCAGAAATGTGCCAAGTATTCTACAATACTGAAGCACAAAGCGTAGAGAATTTACTTTCTCAATCTCTGCTGGGGTTTGATTGTTAAATGACCCTCAAAATTCTATTGCCACTTTAGCTTATATTGGAATCAGTAAATGAAACAAATGATAAAAGTAGAAAATTACCTCAGTTATGCTTTATTACGCAGTAAAACTCGATCCTTAAAATACAAATTAGTATAACGAACCTTAGGACGCAAATGCTCGTGGATTTTGAAAATTGCGACCGGAGATGATTCCATACGCATGTCCCAAAGCTAAAACAAGAAGTGAAATTATATAAAGAGGCATAATTCTAATGCTATGATAAATCAAGGCATCTTGTACAGTTGTGTATTTACAGTTATGCATTTTGAATAATTGTGTATCTAAAATTGATCGTCTCGTCTCTCCGTTCATCACAGGTTTGAAGCCAATGAAAAAACTTAACCTATACAAGCCAATTTAGACCACAAGTTCTCTCTTAAAAAAAAAAAAAAGACCACAAGTTCACAATAATAAAGTGAAATACATAAGGGACATGGAAATAACATTTGCTGGTGGTATTAATGGAAATCTCACATTGACTAGTGACCAAAGTAATTTATATAAGTAAGGAACAACTCTCATCTTACAAACTTTTTTTGAAAGATTGAGTTAAACCCTATACCCACATTCTATCTAAGAAGGTATCAAACTTGATGGTTTGTGCAGTCTAGTGACCTATCACATGAGTATTAAAGCTTGATGAAGCTAATTGTGGATCCATGTGGGAGGTATTGTTCGGCAGGAGCATGAACCACCAGCAGGGGCTAGGAGAACTCTGCGGGTCTACTATATAAAGAGGTTTAAAAAGGGGAATACAGTTAATACAGTTAATAGACAGTTAGAATATGTTATAAAACAAGCAAGAACTTGTAGAAAAACAAAATTGAGAATTACCCCACCAAACCAATAGTGTTCCAAGAAAAAAAACTATAATGCAAGATAAGTTTTGGAATATAATTTTGAAATCAAAATTTATATGACTATAATAATAGGAAAACCTTCATATTCATGTAATTGCGACTTATAAGATGATGGCCATCATTTAAAAACTTTATGTCTGAGATGGATGAAGTGATTTCCGTAAAAAAAGACTTTGATCCATAACACTCTCCATGTTGAAATCTGTATAATAAAGCTGAATGAGAAGTATCAGAATAAAGGAATAGCTGAGCAAGCAGTAAAATCCAAGAAAATGAACTACACCTATACTCGAAGGAATTGAATTGTATTTACATCCTAGAAGCATGGTCACATATTGCTGCGTGCCGCAAATCAGATAGGCGAATAAAACCTTGTGAGCTGCTATATGCCAGGAGGTTACAATGTAAAGGATGGAATTCAGCCGATGTTATAACCTCTAAACAAAATAGAATTATAAATCAGTTAAAAGACCAAAAAGATAACAGAAATACAATGGAATGTGTCAGAAAAGTTGGCCTTTGTATCATCTCCCCACGACGCC